CTGGGTTCAATCCCTAGATCCAAACAACAACAACAACAATAAAAAAAAAAACCTTTATTTACAAGGATAGGTGGTAGGTCAGATTTGACTCAACGGTGGTAGCTGGCCAACCCCTGAGCTAGTCTCCTACCTACAGTTGATTGAAGATTCTAGCCACAGTCAACAGCAAGAACCTAAGTCTTCATCCACTGCTTCTGGTGGTTGTAACAGCAAGAAAATGAACTACTCGGGCCAAGCCAATGATTATAGAACCACCGGACGTAGAACAATAGGGGCTTCTTCCTGCACAGCCAGTTTCTAGAAAACTACTCCCAGTCTATCTCCTGCCTGGAAATATGACGTGAAGTCCGCAGCTGATGGTGAAAAGCAGTACACTAACATCAGATGGCAGAGAAAAGATAACTTAGAGACAATGACATCTCCTCCAGTGAATGGGGAGCAAGCTCCTCGTAGCAAAAGTTAACAAGACAAAAAGAAGCGGACCAGCTGTCCAGTGATGGCTCCCATCTTCATCTTTAGTGGCTCCCCCATTTTAATACACCGGTTGTCCCACTGGGGTTACAGAGCTCAACCCCATGCTATCTGGCCCCACCCTTTCTCAGTGACCCACCCTCCTCATGGTCCAGTCTACCAAACTGAGTAACCCCCAAAGATGTCCAAGACACCATTTGCAAATGCCCCATGACACAAGGAGAGAAGGGAAGGGAAGACAAGCCCACTACAGACTCCACGCACACATGCCTGTGCTGTACTCGGGAAGTGTCAGTCACTCTGAAGAGTGACAGGCACACATTTAAAAAATGGAAGACTGTGGCTTCCATTTCTAGCTGTACCACCAGCAATTTCCCCATCCAAGAGCACTCCTGACACCACTGAATCCTTACTCTTGGAGTACTATCCCTGTAATAGAGGCTGGCATACTATAGATGTGCAGTAAATGTGTTCAATTAAAAAACATTGAGGTTGTCTAGTAAGTTATTTCTGTCCTAAACGAGGCTCTGTGATGTAGAAAGTCTCCGTTTCAGCCCTAGCTTTATGCCGCTTGCTGGAACCCAGTCTCTTCTTGGCCTTGTACTTCTCTCCAGCGTATCCAGGAAATCCAGGTTGGTGAGTGCCCTGGTCAAGTTCACATCCCATCCTTCATTTGCCTCTTTTCCAAGTTACTTCTCAGGGTCCCACATGAGCCTACACGAAGTGCCGCCCAGTATCTTCTCTAAAGGTCAAATGTTTTTCATATGTCCCCAACCAACCTGAGGAACCCTACAAAAATCATTTTGGATCACCTTGATTGGTTAAAATGAGCATCAGAGGGGGCTAGTGATGTGGCTCAGTGGCAGAGTGCTTGCCTGGAATGAGTGAGGCCCTAAGTCTGATCCTTGGTACCACAAAAAAAAAAAAAAATACATCAGAGGGACCCATGGGAGCAAGGAATGAGCCTTTGAGAAAGTAGGAGAAGTGACACTTGGCAGAGCAAATTGGATCTAGTGTTGGTGCCCCTTGAGCACCTAGCCCCCAAAGTAGGGATGTCCAGTGAAGTTTTGGACTACACTGCCTGACATGTCCCCAGAAAAACCAGGGGACCAGTTGGGAAAACTCTTGAGCACGTGTTTGCCTTTAGCCCTAAGAAACCAGGAGAAATGCAGAGATCTTCCTATCCCCCAACTTTCTGTAGATGCACAAATTCTCCAATCTGTCTGAGTAGACTCAGAATTTCTGAAGAGAGTTCTTAAGGGAAAATAAAGCTGACCATGGTGGGCTGGGGATGTAGCTCAGTGGAAGAGTGCTGGTCTAGCATGCATGAGGCCTAGGTTTGACCCCAGAACCACAGAAAAAGAAAAAAAATAAATAAAGGTTGTGTATCTCACACAATCTCAGAGCAGAATTGACAACTAGTCTGGCCAGTGGACCCAAGTCTGGATCTCAAGAGAGC